ACTTTACGTAGTAGTTCAGTATTAGTAGCTACGTTTATTTGCGTACATACATTACGTAGTAGTTCAGTATTAGTAGCTACGTTTATTTGAGTAACATGTCGAAACAATAATCCACAACTGCCAGAACCAAGCTTTGACTCCAGGTTATTTGACACAGGGAGGTAAACACGTTGCCACTAACTGCAAACCTCAATTGTTTACTAGACATACGAAGGCTACGCAGACAGACAGTAGAGACAGGCTACATGTAGCTTGATGTTAGCAATGGCTAGCAGGAACAGAGCTAAAGTAGTTAACTTGTGTCAACTATGAAGGCTACACCTGACATGATGATAGCAATGGCTAGCATGTCGACAGAGCTGAAGGAGGTTTTGTTACTAAACCGTGTCCGGTGTTGTTACCTCTGAGAGAACTTGAGCAGCTCTCCCTCCAGCTCCTCTTTAATGCCGGTCCTCTTCTTGCCCAGGTACATGGGCGGCAGTGCGATGTGTCTCCGGTGCGTGTTCATCACCAGGCACGAGTACGGTGCTGACAGCAGCTCCGCGGCGGCGGAGAACGACGGGATTGCGCACGAGAGCGCGCCCCCGTCTCTGCCCAGTGCCGAGGACTCTGCGGCCGTCTGGACTTCAGCGCTACTGGCGCTTATTTCACTGGACATTTTCACATGTTGTGGGTCGTCTTCTGCATGCTCCAAGTTCGCCATGCTGTTTGTGATACCGGAAGAGGAAGGCACGCCATTTCCGCTTTAAGGAAGGCTCGAAAGCTGTCAAAAATATGCCTTTATATTGCCACCTGGTGGACAGGAGGTGAAATTACAATTGAAAAATATTTTTTTTAAATAAGATTGATAGCCTTATTATGACTACTGAATTTGTATGATCAATTACATCATATTTTCATTTCAGTTTTGCATAATATCATAATAGCATAGAAACAAGTTGCCTACAAATATTAACATATTAACATAGAATTACAGGAAAATTAGATGAGATAAGATAAAACATGATAAATAACAAAGCACAAATACACCAACCAATTGGTATACAAAACTATACATCCACTTAAATATCTTGTAGTAAACCATAGGACTCCGCCTTTTATCACATTTCAAGTGTTGTAACCCCAGAGAGTACGTTATCTGCTCCATCTCATAGATATCCTGGATTATTTAATGCCACAAGTTGTTAAGTAAGAAGTAAAACGTTTAAACTTATTTTTACATCTTTAATTTGCATGTCAAATAATATACAATGTAACATGTTGCTTTCACTTGTTGTAAAATGGAAGTATGTTAATAATATGAATGCCCTAGAATTGTATTTACCGACCATAAATTAGCAAAAGGCACAAACACTGTTCCTACACAGCGGACAGTGGGCAACTTTTTCAAGGCCACTGAAAGTCCCAGGTTGACAGTATGGAAATTGATTTGTGATTCAGACAGAAAAGCTTCGACCAGCATAGTGTTAATGTTCACACTGCAAGGAGAATGGGAGGGACAGCAGTTAAGTATGTCTTTTATTCCTGTATTAAAAAAAAGCATCCAACACTTTTTAAATGAAATGTTTGGTAACCTTTTGATTACTGACAGGCATCTTTCATGTTATGTAAAACCCCTGAGTATGATGCCTTTTCTCAGCAACATGCCCTTCATTATGTAAAACTGCAGGGCGTGCACCAGCCACCCTGGCAGGGTTGCTGTTAAGCTGTTCATCTGATAAGAGACGGGTTAGGGTTATTGATTCTGTATCCTGTTCTCACCTGCCATGGCATATTCAGATCATTAGGGTGACCTAAGGTGTCAATTAGGTCACGCACGTGCACACACACACACACACACACACACACACACACACACACACACACACACACACACACACACACACACACACACACACACACACACACACACACACACATTCACACAGTGTGATCTAGTGTTACTGTTTTCTGACAGAGCAGTACCCCAGGATGTCACATGATTCAGCATATCACACACGCACGCAAGGTTTATCGCACACACACACACACACGCACGCACACACACAAACACACACACACACACACACACACACACACACACACATTCACACAGTGTGATCTAGTGTTACTGTTTTCTGACAGAGCAGTACCCCAGGATGTCACATGATTCAGCATATCACACACGCACGCAAGGTTTATCGCACACACACACACGCACACACACACACACACACATGCACGCACGCACGCGCACGCACGCACGCACGCACACACACACACACACACACACACACACACACACACACACACACACACACACACACACACACACACACACACACACACTTGCACTCCTGCATATTGTCTCAGTGATAAATTGTGACGTGGTTTCTTAGTCAGCAAGAGCTCCCAGTGGCTACAGTATGTGGGCTATATTTAAAACACACACACACACATGCACAAACACACACAAGACAAACACCATAATGAGGTATTGAGCAGCCATGATGTTGCCAGAGTAATTGCGTATCTTCATTAGAGGTCACAGCTGTGTGTCTGTCTGTTTAACTGTATATGATACTGTTAAGTATTGCTTGAGAGGTGCCATTAAAGAGATTTACCTCATCGCTTAGCTTTACGATGACTATGTAAACCTTGAGCAGAGCCAAATCCACCTCTGAGCTCCCATAGGAATGAAGAGACTTCCTAAATCTTGCTCCTCATTGATCACAAGTGACAGCCTGATGTGCAGGTTGACAGTAATATTGTACACTTGGTTTTAAAGATTTATTGCATTTATTTAACGGAAATTAAACATTTAGTGCATTGATTAGAATGCTGTCAGGGGGCAACTTGCTATGTGATAACTCAAAACACCTGCATATTGACAGAAATGTGCAAAAATCCTTAGGCTTGTTCAGTCTAATAAATATGTTGGGATCACAAGACTAAACTCATTTTGCTGCATCTTGTGTGTGTGTGTGTGTGTGTGTGTGTGTGTGTGTGTGTGTTTTTGTGTCTGTGTGTAAATGAATCTGAATCTCAATTAAACTGACATAATCCATGCAAGATAAACCATCACTCAGATTAGTCATACTTTAATTCACTTTTTATAAGAAGCATTTATAAAAATATGTTTGATTTGTGGTTACAGCTAGATTCCTGATATATATAAGCATGGATATACAATGCAGTACACTGTGCATCACCGTATTTCATATCAAAGCATTCCTTAATCAGACGATACATACGGTTTACTGTAAGCTATCTCAAGGTCTGCATTCCATAAACCCATAACAAGACACAGAGAGAATAAAGACATTGAGACTGAAATAGCAGTGGCTATTCAACTGAATCACTTGCATGCTTGGTTTGTGCTCATTACTTTGAGGGCATCTCATTGGATAACATCTATCCTTCCAACTCGTTACTTTAAAAGGTCAGATACCGAACGCCGAGGTTCGTCACCTGAATTGTGACCCTAACAGCAGCTCTCCATCCCGGCTTTGGTTTGAGTTGATCAAAGGGGGTTTGAACCTGTGTTTGCATAATCATTCAGAGGCTCAAACACCTTCCTCCTGTTGTCAGAATGTTCTTCTATTAAACAGAGACCTGGACTCACTCCCTGCGGTCAAGATGTAGTAACTGCTTATGCCGCAGGATGTGTGGAAAAAACGACATGCAGTATCTTTCATCTGAGAGCACAGCGAGCGATTCATGAACCGTCTCTGTGTCGTCTTTGGTGATAGGTCGTCATGGTGATGCTTGGTTGTGTCCGTTGTAGGAGATCTGAGGGATGCCGTTACTGGAGTTGTCCAGGATCTCCTGTTAGGGGGACACACACACACACTTGGTCACTAAAAAGTAACTTTTATTTTTTCTTTTGGTGGTCACTGTGGACAAAAAGGGGTATTGTTTCCAAGCACTACAGTGTCTTATGAAAACTTCTACCGCTTCCTCAGCATGGTCTGACAGATCCAGCAGGTTCAGGCGGAGCAGTGAGACACAGATCTGCTTAGTATGGGCCATGAAACATACACTGTTAGCATACGGTTGACAAGCTGACCAATTAGAAGCTCTCCTTTGCGGTCATGTCCTACCTTCTCGGTCATCTCGTGCGAGTGGTGCAGCGAGTGCTCCCTCTCCAGGAACATCCTCTGCTGCTCAGAGCTGGCCAGGCGACAGGTGAGCCACGTGGATAAGGTACAGGAAGAGATCCCTGGACAAGATAGGAAAAGGGAAACAATGGAAGATATCTTTATTTTATATGAAAGAGGTTTTTCCTATCTTTAGTATTGTATACGTTGTAGCCATGCTAGCGACGTTCTATGACTAATCGCTGTTGGTTGGTTCATTTCTTTAGTCTAATTTGAAATATCTAAACTACTATTGCAATGGTTATACAGATAGTTATGATCCCAAGAGGATACGTCCTAATGACTTGGTGATCCCCCTTACCTCTCTCACACTTTTTTTCATGTTTTATCCATTGACATTTCTTACCAGCTATTGGATGCATTGCTGACGGATATTAGGTACAGATCTGTATGTCACCCTCAAGTGATCCCTTCATTTGATACAGTGGAAATATCAGGTGTTTTATTATGTATGCTGTTGTAATTTGTGCAAATAAGCAAATGTTTACAAAAGCAAATGTAATAAACTTGCACACCAAACTAAGATGGTGAACATGGTAAACATTATGCCAGTTTGAAATCAGCATGTTAGCATTGTCACTGCGGTTTCATTACTGTAACTGTTTTATGTGGAGAAAGAGATGACTACGCCACTTCCTGTGACAGTGGTGGAGCTATGATGTCTGATAGTAACAGGTTGGAGTTATTTAACAGTGTTAATAGGTGGCATATTAAAAGCTGCTTTACCCTTCAGTAAAACCTTTGAATATACATATAAACCCCTCAAACAAATATACTTACTAACAACATCCCTTCATTATGATAGCATACTTGTCACATGAAGAAGACATTAACAATTGTGTTATGTTATATTATACCCAGACAGGCCAGTGTCATGGCAGCCAGATGGATGGAGTGCATGGAGTCTGGTCGTTTGTTCAGAGCCCGGACAAACTGGAAGTTGAGGATCCCACCAATCAGACCACAGATACAGCATGCCGAAAATAGGATCATCTGGGGGACAGGGAGAATGGTTTATGTCAATGCAAACGGCAGAATTGATATCTTCTCCACAAAACTGTAAACAAACTGACAAAAAGTGATGAGATGGGAGATATACAAGCTACTATTGAAATTCATCTCCATCATTTTCTGTTTTGGACGACGGCTGCTCTGATGAGTAATGCGTATCAGTCAAAATAAATCTAATTTCCTATTAGAAAATTGGATCGCTCTCAAAGCATACTGTCTCTTCCAGAAATATTGCACAGCGTGTAAATATGCTTGCATCACTCACTTGTTTTTGTGCTTGTGTTTGTGTGTCTGATTTGTGTGTGTTAGACAGTACGTGAGATTTTCCTTTCAGTGTCGTAATAAATCACATTTTATGGATTACCTACTTGGAAAAAAGCAGTTGGAAAATTCAAACTCAGTAAGAGAATCAAATGTCCCTCCCACCAGGATGTGATGGGAGAATGACTGCAGTCGCTTTGCAATCAGAATAATAAAATCCAATCGATTCACTTCTACTCCCTGTTTATTGTGCAGGCATGCTTGTGTGTGTGTGTGTGTTGTGTCAGGAGTTCAGGTTCTCTTATTGCTCCCAGTACAGATGCCTTTAGTGCCTTTAACCGCATGGAAAAAGGCTTCTCCAATTCCAGTCATTACTCGGTGAAGTGTGGAAAGCGGCTGGCAGGACTCCGGAGCAAAACCAACATAATGCAATCATCACCCCGCAGGCAAACAAGGAAGGGAGGAGATGGAGAGAGTCGGAGCATCGAAACGACCGGGGAGGATGAGATTGGACAGAGAAGGTGGAGAGATGAGAGCGGTGAAAAAGGGAAAGTCACGAGGATTCAAGGAGGGCGACAGAGACAATAGGCGGGGATGGATAGGGTGAGACAGAGGGAGAGAAAGGTTGAGGGATGTCTCTGTTACAGCAGATTGTGCTGACATTGATCCATCATTAGTGCCCTCCCTGTAGGAGAGACACAGAGAGGCTGCGATGCGATCACTATGTATAAAAGATGGAGGGAATGACAGAAAGAGAAGAGGAGAGGTGACTGCCTGTCTCCTCTGATTTCCGCAAATGTCTTACGCAGGCCTACGCACCTGCAGGACAACGAGCGCCTCTGGGTGTTTCACATGATCAGACAGCCATCACTTGTAAACTTGTAAGGGAATGCATGCAGGCCTTGTTTGTACAGTCATACTTCTTAACATTTTGACTCCAATTTCTAACTCATGTTTGCTCGTTCGTGAGTTTGTTGATGAGAAGGTTAATAGCTCCCTCGTCTGTTTGTTATAGATGAAGCTAGCAGGTGGTTAGCTTAGCTTAGCATAAAGCCTGGAAGCAGGGAGAAACAGCAGCACTGTGGAGTTTGGAATAACCCTGTATATTTCAGGGTTATTTGCCAGACTTTTCATTGGACAGCATCCAGTTGCCAGACAACCAGCTGTCCAATACATATTTGAGCACACTCTTTTTTTGTGCAGAATAAACAGACAAGATCTAGAGTATTAATCTGTGAATTTTAGAGGTGCCGATAGTGGGACAGGGACAGATTTCCCCTTTCTTCCAGTGAAGAAGATTTCCCCTTTCTTTGCATGCAATACTTTGCAAAAATGCGAAAGGGCAGATTCCCAAAAATGTGGAATCGTTTTCTTTAAATGACTTTTACTCCCAATGTGCCACTGGAGGGCATTTTGTGTTTGCCGCAGCAGGAGAGTCCAACAACATATCACAAAAGGACAACAAAAGATGCCACTGGGAAAGTAGCCAACTAAATATATACTTACAATAAGACCTGTCCTCTTTCGAGCACACAGCATCCCGCACATCCCACAGACCAGAAACTGGATAGAGAGAGATCAACAAGCGAGTTAATGAGCAGTTTCTTCTTAAATTGTAGCCTTAAGAAAGTTACTGCTTACAAACTCTTTGCAATGTAAACTATTTGTATCACCCCCCTCCTCCTTGTGTTGACAGCAGGAAAGGATGATTGTATTCTTTACACCCGGATATTCAGATGAAACGTTCTCTCTCTAAAAATAGAGTGTGTTATTGTGGCATTAACGCAGGAACCCACCATCCTGGGTGTCAGTGATTCAGGCTGAGCAGGAACAGTACGGTTTTACGCTGACAGAATATATGCTTACAAATGGGACAGCACAATGAGAAATAAGCTGCATTGGAAGTAGCTGGAGGGAGGCATACGTTTGTGTGTACTGTATACCTGTACCTCTGTATTAACTCATTGAAAAGTTGGAAGCAACTCAAAATGACTGTATCAGTTCAAGTTGAGGTTTTAAGGTTCACGTACTAGATTTATTTCAGAGCTTTCAGACCTTATTGGTTTGCTTTAATCAGAAGAAAATAGACTGAGTGGATCTTAATTTAAGTGGTTTTGTTTCAAGTTGCTTTCAGGTAATTGTATTATATCTGTTGTAAATGTGAATTAGAATTTCTCAGTTTCACTCTGAAAATATTCTTATTATTTCAGTACAAAAATATAAAAACCCTTAAATGTATATATGTCACGTCTGAATACATGGTGTCTAGATTTTAGGCTTCTTTCCTTTAAAGGCAAAGGGTTATGTTTTGATTTAGAAATGATAAACTCCAAATCATTATGGATTAAGTCAGAAATGTAACAGATGATGTTTTGGTTTTTAAAGGGCTGCCCAATAACTTTTAACAATATATGACAAAATGAACCAAAGTAATCTTATCAGTAGAAAAACATTCATAACTCAAAAAGTCCTGATAGATATATTTAGATATGAAGAGGATCATTTTCCAGATTCAGCAGCACACTAAATATGTGCAAAAGTTGGACATTCAATCTACTTTGGGGGGAACAGTCAGTCACTATAACTCCCAGTTCCTGAGAGGAGATATAAAACCTCTTGGATAGTCACAAGAGACAAGGGCTGACTGAGCAGACAGCTGTGAGGTTAAACACACAGATGTCACACTGAATGACAGCTTTTTAAACACACACTATGCACCCACACAAAAACATATAAAGTATAATATAACTAAGTTCTTTCTTTGCAGATATTTACACATCAAGAGATACTGAAACCAGATTCAGATACTTTAATATATGACTTATAGTTCCTGAGCTCCACACACTCGCAGCAGTAATATTGTAATTGGAGACTATATATATCTTCTAAAAATGTCAGAAACTGAACTTTTCATTGCTCTGCAGAAAATCAAGAAAATGAGGAAGAGAGTGCACTGTAAAAGGAGGAGACATATGCAGAGGGGAGAGGGGAGGTTTGTGCGTAAAAGCTTAAGAACCGAGCAGTAATTCAAGCATGAATGAATGAAACTGATCCCTAACTGTGGCACAGAGGAACCTATAGACCAAATGTCCGTTTGTATCTCTCTAACATCGCATTGAACTAACTAACACAGAAAGGACGAATGTACAGTATATGTGACCAACAACAAATGTAGTCTTATCCACATCCTATGTCTTAAAACTGGCAACTTCAGCTTCCAGTTCGTGATTAATATTAGATAAACCACCACCAGTATGACGACATGTCAATTGAATACCTTTTAAAGCTTTATACTGTGACTTCAAAATCAACTTCAGTGTGTGATGTAAAAGTTAAAAGTGTCCTGAATCACAGAAACAAAACTTAATTGGTAGACTTTTAAGAAAAACGTTGATGTGTAGCCTGATTTTTTTGTGTACATTTTTTTTATTAAGAGTTATTAGGAAGAATGGTGTCAGAATAAAACTAAATAAAAAAGAAATAAAAGCATTATTTTCAAACTATTTATCATGGTTTCCCTTTAAAAGGCCAACTTAGTTTAATATACCTGACTTTAATATACAGATATGTACCGCCCATTCTCTGTGAGGAACGTTTTAGTATGTACATTCAATGTTGAATAAGAACAGAGACAGATAATTCCCCTGAGTTTTAGCCGTGTAACTTCCTTTAACAACATCCCTGATATATTTATCCTAACCTGACGTGGATATGCTGTCTGAAAGTAAACGCAGGAAAGAAGAGAAGTTGTTTCAGGACTTACGCAGAGTCCGCTCCACACCGGGGACGCGTCGCCCTGCTGGGGCTTGTGCTCTCCGCGGACCCAGCTGATGCCCACGGCTCCCAGGACGATGCTCGCCACACCCAGGCCGACCTCCACCACGGACAGCAGGAGCAGGCTCCACAGGATCTTGCGGCTGGAGCACATCCCGCCCCGGGCATCTCCTCAGCTCCAGCCGGAGGGCGAGAGAGTAGTCCGCGTCTCTACTGCTCCATACCGGGCTGTAAAGGAGGGGTTATCCGAAAAAAGTAGGGTCGCGTAGAGTGGAAAGGTTAAAGTAAACTAAACTGGAGGAGGTGAGCTGGCTCTGTGGTTGGAAATTGTTTTAAAGAGAGAGTATCTCCGCTTGCTCAAGTGCGTGTGTGCTGCCTGGAGCTGTCCAAGGTACTTTAGCATCACCGCGAGCACACACTTGATGTGGGGATTCGCGTGCACACTCAGACACGCGCGCAATACAGGGCCAAAAGAGTCACAGCCTCCGCCCTCATGTGGAAAACTCAAACAGCATGATAGTTATAAAGCTCAGAGTGCTCAGGTTCATTGAGCTGCTCATTAAACTATAGTACCTGGATAAATAAACAGTGTGCGTTAAGGCAAGGTTATGTTACCTTTATAGGCAATTGTTCTTAACATAAGACAAAGGCAGAGGGGATAGAAAACTAAAACAAAATCATATTTATACACCGTTTTTAAATAGATCAAATAAGAGTCTTCTTTAAAGACTCACATTCAAGAAATGATAGTGTGTGACACGTTTTTAGTGTATTCAGTACCTACATAGCATTAGAAATAATAATTAAAAAAGCACAAAGTCACTTGCATACATAGGTTTAATACATCTTATTGTAATTCATTATTGCCAGCATTCATATCTGTTTTTTGGCATTCTTTATCTTAACATCTTTCAGCTTGGAAAAATTCAACAGCATCGCTTTTCCAAAAACAGTGCCCCAATACCCTGTGTAATTCACTGAACACCCTTGGGGCAAATGAATCATATGAGTAACTGACCCTTTAATGGTCATAATGTTTAGTTTAGAGTTCAATCCAAAAACCCAAGAAAACTAAAATAGTCTTTATTAAGTAGTTTCATGAAAAAGTCTGGCATACCTGTGTTGAGCCAAAAGTTGTATTGTTTTCATACACATTACACTTCATTTAGCTGATGCTTTCAAACAAAGCAAATTAGAGTGCAATGAACCACGAGGATACACATTCAGAACAGCAAGAATCCTCGTTAGCTTCAAATGAGCCAAGCCATTTTAAGAGCTATTCAGAAATGGGAGGTGTGTGCAGTCAAAACAGGTGGGTTTTCAGTCTGCTGACAGAAGACGTGTGGGCATGCACATATTCAAAGGGGAGCTTGTTTTCACCATTTTGCTTCCAGGATAGCAAACAGGTGAATTTTTGATGAGTTCCCACTCACAGAGGAAGGTGGTAGCGAACTATATCCTTGATGTACAAAAGTAGACAATACAAGAGTAATTCTCTCTATATCATGATTCAAATGTGTCTCTTTGAAAGAGTTGAAAGGGGCAGTGGATCACTGTAGCTTCATATAAAGAACCACTTGTACAGATCAGGTACAACTCTGTACACCCTGTTCACACCCACATGATAGCAGGCCTGGCAGATAGCGTGTGAAAACTTACGATTCTCCTCAGTAGGATGACGTCTAGCAGTATAAAATCGCCGCCAATCAAAGTATCTCATATAAGCCTTGTGATCCTTATCCAGCCTCAGGAGGAACTCAACCAGTTTTGTGGCATGAGGAAAGTCATTTACATGTATGAAGGAGGAACCTGGGGCTAAATCCTCATAGTTCCTTCTCGGGGGGCCCAAAACTATCGGCACAGTGCCAGCTGCAAGAGGTCCATTGAACGATTCTGTAATGTCATCTCTGTGAGTTGAACTCTCAAAGGAAAGGTAGAATTTGCAGCTGCTGACAGTCTGGAAATAGTTCTTACTCTTTGAGAAACTGGCAGACAAGCTGTAAAAGACATCCACCTTTATGTGTTTAGTGAGCTCTTCATAGTAGCTCTTCCATGCTTGTGTGTGGGGGTCACCTCTATCAAGAATCAAACAAAGCAATCGTTCCTTCCTGGGAAGCACAAAATCTTCATCCGTGTCCTTCTTGAGAGTCAGTCTCCAGTGGACATGGATATCTGCATCCCTCCTGTAGCTCATGGTTAAATTAAAAAGGCCTTGAGTGCCTTTGATTCTGCGAGTGTTGTTAGGCGAGGCCGTGTTAAACCAGATCCACCTCTGAAAGCTGGGTCTAGGTGAAGTGGGGAGGTTGGAGAGGTCATCCTGGATAGCGTTGTGAAATACCAAAACTCCCTGAGCTCTGGAGTATAAAGATCTATCATCTGTGAGGTGGCAGGTGTCAATTTGAAAAAGTGTCTTGCAGTCTTGAAGGTCAAAACGTTTGTTTTCAGGCCAGAACCACAGCAGCAGTACAGGCTTGTCCGTGTTTTGTATCACGTGCGTGCTGTTTGTCTTTGGACGAGCCGGGGCAGGATGCGATATTTTTTTATATGGAAGTGACACGTGGTACATCAAAACCTCAACTATGATTACAGCCAGAATGAGAATGACTTTCCCCTTGGTTTGTAAATCACAAAAGAGTGTAGCCATATCAAATCTGTAAGGAAAGGAGAATCCTGTAAAACAGATTCCCTCAGTATTAACAATATATCATTTTAAAGTTCTCAAATAAGTTATCGGACAGGGTTAAGAGGAGTCTCAAATAACAGTAAATATAATAGCAGTAATTCATTCACAATACAAAACTCGAATGAAAACATCTAAAAAAGTACAACGACATCTAGAATGTACTTTACATTTACACATTTATTTGTATAGAAAAGTTGGTTCAGTATCTTTTCCAAGGACAAGTTGTCTGCAGGTTCAGATCCAAATCAGCTTAAAATCTGCCATACGAAATGTCCCTGCCTAAAACATTTAAAGTGTTTTGTAAATGTACTCAAATGACTTGCTTGTCCCTTGGAGTTGAAGGTGAGTGTGTAGATATTCTGCAGGATCCAGGATAAAGCTGCGCACAAGTCCAACTCGGCTGGAGAGATCTTGCTGTCGTCTCCCTCGTTCTTCGTACAGGTTAAACCCAAAAGGTGTGACATTTCACTGATGCTCCACCTACTCCTATATTAGCTTAACAAAGCAGTTTCAGACAAGCGAGTCAACATTTTAAACTTTAACAAGGTTTATTTGCATACAAGTAGGTGGCAATGACTTTTGAAGGTTAATGTTTAAACATTCAAAGTCCCTCTGGGATTCTGACAAAAAGGTTACCTGTACAAATATTCTGTGATGTCGTTGATTGAAACATTAACAAAATGAGTGGCTAAAATAACTTTTATTATGATTATGTGAAGTGGTTACATCTACAGAGTATAACAAATGTAATATAATCAAAGTAACTTTTCCTCAAGAAAGAAAAATGACATTCTTAGCCAGCATCAAACAAATGTATTGCCTTCTCTTTTGTTTTTCTTTAGAGTTTACATGTGGAACAACACACCACAATCCATCCCTTTGTATTTAACTAGAAAATCATGAGCCTGATTTATTTGCATCTCCATCCATTTTCTTCAGCTCTGCAGCTAACCTGCTAACCCACACTGAGGATGAGAAACATAAAGAGAGCACGAATGAACAGACACATGACATGACAAACTAACTTTAGCAAATAATAGACACACAGCATCTTTGTCTCTTCTCGACAATCCTATGCACAAACACACGCAGAGTGACAGGAAGACGGATTAACCCGTGGGCTGGATGGACATTTGCTTCCTACGGTTGGGAAACCTTGAAGAGTATAAACAAAAATAAATAATAATAATTTAAAAAAACTATACCTAAAATGGATTAATCATTTCACCACTTATCCACATCCTAAATAAAATATGGATATGATCACACGTAAAAAATACATTTTAGATAATATGGCTAATTCAAAGAAAAATGATGGTGACACCTTGTTCTGTTTTGTTGTTTGTTAGCAATATACAACTTAAAGGTGGGGTAGGTAAGTTTGAGAAACCGGCTCGAGATACACTTTTTGTTATATTCCATGGAATGCTCTTAACATCCCAATAGCAATGAATATCTTAAGTGCTTTGACAAAAAATCCATTAAAAAAAATTCATCTGTGGAAGCCGTAATACTGTAAAAAGCACGGCTAAAATGATTGGATGGCCTACCTGCCTGTCAGCCTTCCATCTGTGCACAAACTTATCTCGTGCCCTCATTGGTCATGTGCGCGTTCGTGTGTGTTGGAGGAGGGGCTCTATAAGGAAGTGGCAGATTTTCTCCGGTTGTGTATTTTCAAATTCTAGCGATCTCGAGCCGGTTTCTCAAACTTACCTACCCCACCTTTAACCTGTTCATGAAACTAAACATTATTTGGGATTAAGGAACAGTGTGATGTCATAGGAAATGCACGAATTGGCTCTTTTTTTTACTGTGAATAATATAAGAAGATTTATATTCATCCCTGTTTGAAGCCAGAGCCAGCAGCAGGTTAGCTTAGCTTAGCCTTAACACTAGAAACAGGTGAAGCAGCAAGCCAGGTTCTGTCTAAAAGATCAAAATCAGCATGATAAGCACCTCTACAAGTTACAACTGTACATGTTATATCTTGTTTATTCAGAAAAACAGGAGTGTAAATACAGGATTATGTAGTGTATCAATGTGTCCAGTCTTAATGGTACTGCTGTGTATGACTTCAACCAGTTTTTAACAAATACTTTAAACAAAATACAGTGCCCACAAGTTCTCGACTAAAGGTACAATATTAAAGAATCTAGTAATGAATGTACATGTGTCTGAGCCACTTTCAAATGTTGTTTTTATTGGCATTTTCACGTAAAGTACCACTTATAAAGGTCATGAACTATATGGAAATCCCGGTCTCTTGACATGTGGTCGCAGGCGAGGCAGATGGGCTGAAGGAACTCGTTGTACATGGACAGGAGATGAGGGGCGGCCATGAAGAACTTCCTCCACTCAAAGTAACGCATGTACGCCTCGTCCTTCATGCCCAGCAGAAACTGTGCCAGTGACTTTGCATCAGGGAAATCGTTGATGTGAATGAAGGCGTCGGAGGGAAGGAACTGCTCGTAGTTTTCTCTTGGCGGTCCCAATACTACAGGGACCGCCACGGCCACGAGGGGCCCGTTAACCTTCTCTGTGATGTAGTCTCTGTGGACTGAGTTCTCAAACGACAGGTAAAACGTACAGCTGGCTATGGTGGAGTAGTAGTCCTCGTAGCTCAAACGCTTCCCTCCAAAGGCTGCACCGAAGACGTGGATTTCAATGTGTTTGGACAGTTCATGATAATATTTCTCTCTCACAGCTGTTCCAGTGCCATGGTTGGTGTTACTGACTATCCAGCACACCAGTTTGTCTTTTTTTGGCAAAACAAAGTCCTCTGTCATTTCTGTCTTCCTGATAGTGAGCTCGTTCCTCACCGTGATGTCAGCGTCTCTCCTGTAGCTCAGTGTTAAGTTGAAAAGGTTGTCCAGACCAGGGAGCTTTGCTGTGTTTGCCGGGGATTCTACGTGGTACCAAATCCACTTCTGAAAAGCCGGACGTGGACCCTTCGGCATGTTTTGTAACCCCCAGGATATATCTTTATGGTAGAAAATGACCCCCTTGGCCTTGCTGTAGAGGGATCTGTTATCTGTCAGAACACAGCTATCAATGTTGAAGTGGGTCAAGCAACCTTTGAGGTCAAACTTGACACCGAGGGGCCAGAACCACAGCAGGACTATGGGCTTTGTCGGAGTAGGTGGGCTCACAGGAGATCGAGCGTTGTAATACTGAGTGATTGTAAGAGCAGAGCAGATAAGGCAGAGAGCTGCTTTATTTGCTAACCACAATTTCTTCTTATAGTCTGGTCTCAACATCTGTGGAAGCAGAAGAGAAACGGATGTGATGATTACAAAAAAAGTAAGTTAAAGGTGGGGTAGGTAAGTTTGAGAAACCGGCTTGAGATCGCTAGAATTTGAAAATACACAACCGGAGAAAATCTGCCACTTCCTTATAGAGCCCCTCCTCCAACACACACGAACGCGCACATGACCAATGAGGGCACGAGATAAGTTTGTGCACAGATGGAAGGCTGACAGGCAGGTAGGCCATCCAGTCATTTTAGCCGGGCCGGCTAAAATGATTGGTCGTACTTTTACAGTACTACGGCTTCCACAGATGACATTTTTTTATGGATTTGTTGTCAAAGCACTTAAGATATTCATTGATATCGGGATGTTAAGAGCATTCCATGGAATATAACAAAAAGTGTATCTCGAGCCGGTTTCTCAAACTTACCTACCCCACCCTTAAATGTATAAATCTCAAAATATTAACAACTGAGATTAGGGAATATATGTGTCTTGATTAAAAGTTGAAGAAGGTACAAGCTTCTGTACATAACAACGTCTGGGGAAGAGTTCATTACAGCTCCCAAGGTGCATTTCTACTGCGTAAATCACTTAATATTGCAGGTATTATAGGAACTATAACAATGCGTTTGCTTACAAATTCAACATCAAAGAGTGAAATCGCTACCACTCTGTTTCACGCCTTTCAATGTCATCTTCAACATTGTAACAGTGGTCAAGCCTTATTGGTATTGTAGGTTTTTAGACCTGTCATCCTAGACAAAATGATGGATTTAAGATGATAACATAAGTACTGTTGTCCATAACATAGTGCTACAGGGCTGTTACATTACCAGTGCAAGTCAAATGTGTTCTACCTGAAGTAATATCAAGGATATCATTTGACAACACATTTGAAATGTGAATAAAGAATGGGGGAACCGGCAGCCCCTCCCACACATGTGCTTTACCAGCCACCTTCATCTATATTAAAATCTGTTTGGGACAATTGTCAATTCAATAAGAACAATGAAGGGTTGTTAGTTGTGTCCCTATCAGTAATAAGGGAAACAACTCCATTGTATAAAACACATACAAGACTAGTAACTCTAAATCCAGTTTTAACTGAGTGGGGCGGGGCTTTTCAAAACAATCAATTATGACAGTTTGTTGTCTAAATAAATGTGACTAAAATAATCTATATACAGAACACCATCTATTTAAATGCAATTCAACACAGATTTACAAGACAAATAAGTGCTTTGTAATGCTTAAATTCAACCTAAAATTGACATTTTAATTCAATTAAGATCATAGCTGCTGAATAAAACATTATCTTCTCACCTTTCCACAGCGAGTCGGGGCTGGATGTCTCTTCCTGGATGTCAGCAGAGCAACTGTGGCTGGCATTTGAGGCTACAACTCATATTTGAATACTGTCACATAGAAAACCCTCCGAGCCAAACAATAGAAACCAGTGTAAGCTCTGAGCTTTCCATCTTTCTGACCACTGCTTTGGCGACCGTCTTACTACTCTTCTAATATTAAGTGTGATAATTATTAAGGCGGTCCTGAAGATAGTGATCATGTTGTACAAACAAAAATAATCCATAAACATGGCACAACATTTTCTAATTGAGAAAACTGACATACAGAGAAGATAGGGAAACAAAGCTGGGATTTGTTTTTTTAGGCAGAGCCACCCAAGCATGTGTTTGCATACTGTATTTACCTACAAGTGCACGAGTTAAATGAAAGATTCAAGTTGGAAGTCAGTTGCACTCCATACTCAGCTATTTTAAGATAAGGTTTTTATGACTTGTAGATAATCCAAGAGCAATGACTAGGGTGTAACACCACACAGAACAAACAAGGGATTTAAGCAGCAAACAAAGCCTGACTTAAAAAAATCACTGTGATGGATCAGCTTGTAAAGCAAGCAGCATGGGTCTGTTTCTGGCTCGCAGCTCTTTGCAGTGTGTAGTTTCACATCCTGTCTATCAATCTGTGCTATCCAAAAAATATAAAATATTGAAAAAAATGTATCAAAAGGAAGACGACACACTGAAAAACTGAAACGGTGTCTTTAATTAAATGTATTATGTCAACAGATTTCACATAACTGTATTGGGTTGGATGAAAGCAATTATGTTAAGTTGAAATAATAAAATATTAGGGTTAACTTAATACTATTGCTTTCAACTAACCTAATACAGTTATGTGTTGCGACTGGAGATATTAAAGGTGGGGTAGGTAAGTTTGAGAAACCGGCTCGAGATCGCTAGAATTTGAAAATACACAACCGGAGAAAATCTGCCACTTCCTTATAGAGCCCCTCCTCCAACACACACAAACGCGCACATGACCAATGAGGGCACGAGATAAGTTTGTGCACCGATGGAAGGCTGACAGGCAGGTAGGCCATCCAATCACAGATGACATTTTTTATGGATTTTTTGTCAAAGCACTTAAGATATTCATTGCTATCGGGATGTTAAGAGCATTCCATGGAATATAACAAAAAGTGTATCTCGAGCCGGTTTCTCAAACTTACCTACCCCACCTTTAAGGATTTCACATAAAAAAAGTTGAGAATTTAAACCTGATATGTTTCTGTAGAACAAAAACTCTGCCAACTCTTTTATCTGGCTATTTAAACTCTGAAAGCATTCGAACTGAGCCTGTAAAGAACACATCCCAATGAACATACATCAGATGATTCAGGGTTCCTAAGTATGTGTATTTGCGTGCATGTAGAGGTTTTTAACTGATCAATGATCAACAATCAATTATCGACAGAGGGTAAAAGCAGCTGGAAGCTGGATCTTCGAGCAGAGCGTTACAATAAGCTTGACTATTTCTGGGATGTGTTTGCATTCAGTGTTCATGTTTTCAGCATCAGTTCCAGGATCCTTAAAGCAGGTGAAACCGTAAAAATAGAATAGGTTTAGAAAGGTCAGAGAAGCTGCCTTTTTAAGTGAACCGTTGCAGTAACTTCAGTATAAACTTCTAAATAAACCGAATGCAGTGGAGTAGTAACATTACAAAATATTGAGAGAGTAAAATTGTACAAATGAATGCTCAAACCAAAGTCATAGGAAAGCAAATTGCTATCCCCAGGTGAGTTACAATCTTGTTTTGCTCATTTTCTGTATGCAGTGAGGCATTAGATATAGATGAATTAGCAACATTTCTGCTGAATAGGTAGCTAGCTTGCTAATTCCATATTGGTTTAAAGACACAATAGTGGTATGGTGCCCCACCGTGCTGGAAAACGGCCTAACCATCTAGCTACATGTAGCATCCATCTCTGGAGCTTCGTCCACTCTCTTAATGGCAAACGTTATGGCCCAACTGAAGCTTGTTTGCAAAAGAGCTAACAACAGTTGCCATTGTCTTTTGTTATATTCAAATGACTATGAAAAACGATTCAATAACTACTCTACTCTCATTGTCTGTATTTGGCTGAAGCCTTTTAGCTTGTGGAGATAAAATAATTGCCGGCATACAAGATTAAAACTGAGAGGTTTATTTGAATACATGTTTTGAGGCATGTTTTTTTACTCTTTCTCAAGTTATGAACAATATTTTCAATGGCTCTCTGTAGGTGAAATGCACTGACTTTGTGTTTTTACATATATATTTTTAAGAGCATGCTATGACACCAGAGGCCTGTACTACGAAGCTGGATTTTCGCTTAGCCGGCTAACTTCAGGGAAATCTCGGGCTTTCCGGTCCTACGACGCTGGTTCTCTTTTTAGCAGGCTAGATTTCCATGGTAACTTATGCTGAGCGGCAAACCTGCTCCGGAGCAGGTTAGGTGGCAGGCTAAGAGATCAACTCAGTGAAAGCACTGCCTGCTGACCAATCAGAGCTCCGTGTGCGGAGTTTAAAGCGATCAATTCATATTACAGGATAGAGGAAATACAGAAAAACTGCTGTTGCAGGAAAGACGGCCGGCCAAAATCAACTGACTGTGTGAACGTGAAAATTAATAGAATATCCCCTCCCATCTTCAGAGCAATCTGACTATTATAATATTAGCGTTAAGAAAGCTTACTTAAATATCTGCCACGACATAAGTAACCGGATCAGAGTAACATTAAGTACAGTCCGCGGCACTGTGAGTGCAGACGTCGATGTGTCCCATTATCATTCATATCATATCACATCATAATGTATCATATATTTCCTTATTTGAGTCAGCTTCTTGAGCCGTATCTGGCCGTGCAACACTCACAGTGTCACATACTGTATGCAGAAGTATTATTTTAAGCAACACATTAAGTTGACGAAACACTCGAGTCAAATGTAATTAAAGTCAGATCCACTCGTGTCTTGGACGGGGCAGTGATATCATAAACCTGTTGATGTACGCATTCAAACGCTTTTTCTTTTACCAGCTGTATTCACCTTGCAGGTGCAACTATGTGGCTTTTATCCTGGATAAAGTGTTTAAGTCATGGATGTTTAAAGTTCAACTTCTTCATATTTGACTAATATTAAAGTTCACTTTTCATTCAGGAAGTATGACGCGCTGCGCTGTCAGTACGCTTGTCCGTGTTTGAGATTGGTCGAATGCTCCAAATACCACCACTTTCATGTGAACGCGCACCTAACTAGATAGGACACGGCTGGCTTGAGCGATCCACTTGATAACCAGCGTCGTCGTACAGTTTAGCCAGAGCGCGTATGTTTTGGATTGGGCCAACCGGCTAACTCAAACATATCCAGGTTAGGTTGAACCAGCTTCGTAGTACAGGCCTCAGGTTTTAGATGGATTAGCATGAGGATTGTGGAAATGTCATCGAGGTACTTTGCTTCTGTTTCTTTCGAGTCTTGTTTCTATCTCACTGTCTCCCATTGACGCCCGCAGAATGATTTTCTATGCTCCATATTTGTCGATGTCAAGCCATCGATCCATCATTTAAATCCTCTGATCTCCTGATGTTGTTCAGCTCATGACACAACAATAATAATAGCTTAATAGCTTGCATTTATATAGCGCCTTTCAAGGGACCCAACTTCGCTTTACAAGTAATAGGGCAAAAACAAACATAACAAAACAAAAGTCAGACAGACAAAACAACAGATCGATTAGGGGCCGA